TCTGCAGGAGGAATATTCAAAAAGAGTTAACAACATAGTCCGAGGACGATTTCTGGATTTTTTCGGGGTGTTCTCTCGCGTATTTCTGGAGTCTGTTCCGTTTCTCTTTCAAGATCCGCCCGTGGGGGGACGTGCCCGACCCAAGGCTGGGGCCGGGCGGGGGCCGCCGAGAGCCCCGCCAGGCCACCCCGCGGCGCAGCCGGAGCAGAGGCGGTGGGAGGCCCTGATGGCGGGCGCGGCCGTGCAGAAGCGGCTCTGGGTGGCAGGCCCATCGGGGGTGCAAACATTCGCCAGAGGCAAGAGTAGCATGGCGCCACATCGCAGGATCCTCGTCCTCCTCGTCCACCTCGTCCTCCTCCTCCTCCTACTCCTCCACCTCCTTCTCCTCCTCCTCCTCCTCCTCATGGCCCCATCGGCAGGCCCATCGGGGGTTAGAGGCAAAAGCATCATGGCACCAGCATCGCAGAGCGGATGGCGTTCGGGAAGCGATCGGGTGGGCCTGGGGTGTCCTGGAGGGTTGCGTTCTGGATTTCGAGGTGGATTTCGCGCGGATTGTTTTTTGGTCACGCGAAATTCACTTCGTTTTCCACTTGCCCCTTCGATCAGAAATCCACGCAGAAATCCGCTGCAGCACGTCTGCAAGGCCGGTGCAATGAAAAGTACCACTACCACAAGCTAGGGGGGTGACTGTCCCATCCTCTCGAGCTGGTGGCACCTCGTGCAGGGCATGCCTCCAGCGAGTTCCCGGGGGGAGGTGCCACCAGCTCGAGGGGAGGGAGCGGCCACCTCCCTAGCTGGTGGTAATGGTACTCATGCCTCTCCTCAAAGAGGGGGCCCTCGTTGTGCGAGGTCCCTTGCTCCTTCGGGGAGACGTAAGACTCGAGTAAGCCAGAACTCGGGCTTGCCGAAACTTTCTGACGAGCGCGCCCTGGATTTTGACGGTCCGGTTTTCGTGGGATGTCTGCAGCGGGAGCTCACGTCAAATTCCAGATCGTGTCTCGTCACTTTCACTATGGCCCCGTCAGGCCAACCCGAGTCCCCCGTACCCGAGGCTTTCGTTTCCCCGATCATTGTTCGAGGTCCCTTGTTCTTGGGGCCCCCAATCCCTCAGGAGGGAAAAAGCGCACAGACACAATGAATCGACGATCCTCAGAAAGATCTGGGAAAAAAACGGGAAGAAGGGCGGGAGAGGAAGATCCAGAACATACACTTAAAAATATGGAGATCCTGGGATGTGTGTATGTTAGTTGTGTGTCCCTGGGCCCCATTTCATCCCTCAGGGCCCGACTCGCCGAGGCGCCGAAGCAGGGGCTTTGTGCAGTGCGGGGCCGTGCTTGCTCCTGCGCGGAAGGAGCAGGAGGAAGGATCTACGGCTCCGGCCCCCGGCTGCGCGTCCGTCTTGGAGAGTGTTTCCTTAATGATTGCTTGGGGCTTGACGGGCGTCGTCGCCTTTGATTCCCTCTTCCCCCTTCTCTGTGACGTAACGCCGCCCCCCCCCCCAATGACGTAACGCTCCGCCCCCCCCTAGGACGTAACGCCGATGGCGCACGAGAGTCGCACTGTAACGTTAATGGCCGTCCGTCGCCGCCGCCGCCGCCGCCGTCGCCGAGGGAGGGCAGGAAGGAACAGCAGGAGGAGGGACGGGGGAGGGAGAGCGGGAGAGAGGGAGGGGGAGAGTGGGAAGAGGGGGAAGAAGGGGGAGAGCAGAGGGGGGAAAGCGGGGGAGAGGGAGAGAGGGCGAGAGGGGGAGAGGGCAAGGGAGAAGGAGAGAGGGAGAGAGCAGGGGGAAATGGATGAGGAAGAGAGGGAAGGTCTGAGGAGGAGGGGAAAGGGGAGGAGGAGCAGGAGGATCAGGGATATTGCCCAGCTTGTTGTTGGGGGGTGTCCCCAGACAGGAGGCCCGCAAAGTGAGCGCCCCAACGGCTGCTGACGTAGGCACTCGCGCGCGAAGGGCCGGCGATTGGTGTGATTGCGCAGCAGGAGTTGTGCTTGTGCCCGCTATGGGCCGCAGAGAGAGATTAGCCCAGATGGCGTGGGCGCTGTCTTAGACAGGCACAAGAGAGCCCAACGAAAAGGTTGTTGGATGCGGGGGGGGGCAAGGGTACTATCTATGAGCCTCATGGTCGTTACGTCGTATGTACAACATGTGCCAACATTTACAAGTATAAACAGAGGGGAGAGCGAGAAGGAGACAGGGAGAGGGAGAACCAACACAACTCCTCTCCGCTGGATGTGGCCTGGCGACGTGGCTGTGAACTGAGCGTGGGGGCTTCACGCCTACAGGTAGACCTTGGCTTGTCCCTCGGGTCGAGCCCCAATGTTCTTTTAGCGCCAGGGATGGCGAGTCCGACTTGGCGATGTGCTCACTGGGGCAGGGTCATTATGCTACTAGATGGATTACCGCAAAGGTCACACATGCATCCACCTTTCCGCCATGCATGCACAAGAAATAACGAGTGCTGAAGCATCTGATAGGCGCAAGCGCCAATGCTGGCAGAAGGCCAGGGCGGCGAAAACCGCCACCACGGTTCAGCTGTGCTGCCGCATTGATAGCGGCGGTTCTCCACGAGAGGCCGCCGAACAGCTCTTCTCCAAGAGAGAGGGCGTGGGAGGCAAGACGGCCGGGCCGTACCCCGGGGGCAGGGCTGCGGAGAGAGCGAAGCCGACCAAGGCGGTTGGAGAGGAGCGCGACCGAGCGGAGCGGGGAGTTTCGGATCGGACTCACGCCTGTCTGCGTGTTTCGAAGCGTTGCGCGTGAGAGAGAGCTCCCCCCACACGGCGGAGATCACTGCATCACGGCGGGGCCGAGGGCACGACAAATTTGCAGCAGGCGTTGCCAGTGCAGCGGGCGTGGGGTAGGAACGACTCTGGCCAGCGGATCTGCCGAAGGCGAAAAGGTGGTTGGCATTGTAGGCATTGCCGCAGATCCGCGAGTAGAGGAGTCTCTGATGGCCAGCCAGGGCACTAAGCCTACCACCAGTCCGCCCACCGTCAGTCATACCTAGTATTGTGCGTCATAGCGCCGGTGATTGGGAGGGTACAGGCGGGGGAGGGAGGAGAGGGGATGAGGGGGAGGAGGGGAGGAGGAGAAGGAAGAGGACGAGGGAGGAAGGAGAAGGAGGAGCGAGGAGCAGGAGAAGGAGAAGGAACATCTGGAGGAGAAGGGGAGATAATGCAGCAGGAGCAGGGGAATGGGGGGAGGGGCACGAGGAGGAGGACGACGAGGCAAGCGCGATGCTGCCTCCTTCGATCCCGCCGCTCCTCTCGGCTCCCGCTCCCCGGCACGAGCTCCCCAGCGTCGCGACAGTGCGAGCACAGCATTTGGCCCCGCTGCTGGCCTCTGTGCAGGGTCAACGCAGGTGCCCCCCTCGAGCTGCGCGTCTACAAGGGCGACGCCACGCACGCGGGCCTCTACGGGCTCGACGAGGCGCTTGACGCGGGCGGCCGCGGCACCGGGGACGGAGCTCGGGGCGTGCCGTCCAGCGTGGTGGACCACCAGACTCAAGAAGAGGGGAGGAGGAGGAGGAGGAGGAGGAGGAGGAGGAGGAGGAGGAGGAGGAGGTGGAGGTGGAGGAGGAGGTGGAGGTGGTGGAGGAGGAAGAAGAGGTCAGTCCTTCCTGCTGAAGCCTTCGGCCGTCTGTAGCACTTCGGCCACATACTTCGACGCAGCGTCTTTAGAATGTCCCTCTCAGCGGCGGGAAGATTTAGTCCAGATTCCCTGAGCACTTAGCAAAACTGCAAGAGGGCTCCAACCAGTGGTGATGGTTCTAGTCGGTTCCAGAGGTTGTGGGGGCTCTAGCGGCTTCGAGGATTCAGCAAGACTGATGGCGGCGGGTGGACTGCACGGTCCGTAACATTTTGTGCGTCAGGTTATTGCCCGCGCGTTATGTGTGAAACTTTGACATTTAGCTGCTTGTTCGGACCGCTGGGGTACTCACACATCGCCTGTGTCTGTTTCATTTGCCGCCTCTACTCCTCGCTCCTCCTTCTCTACCCTCTCCACCCCTGGTGGCCGGTGTCTTATTACTTCTGGCATGGGCCATGGCTTTAAGCGACCAATGGGCATGGTACGCGTGTTTGGCAAACGCGTTGCCCGCGCTCCCTCCTCATATTCCGTTGCTCCCTCCTCTTCCTTGTCTTTGTTCTCCTCCGTGGCTGATGTTTCGAATGGTGGAGTCCCTCTTCCCTTAGTGGGGAAGCTGTCACCTTGTCATCATCCGCGCATTGGCTTCATAAAGAAGGGGAGCAGGTGAAGGATTTCCGAGGAGGAGGAAGAGGAGGAGGAGGGCGACGACGATCGAGGATGAGGACAGAACACTTGGAAGGAGGGAGGCGGGACGAGGGGCAATGTATGAGGGAGAGAGGGAGCGGGAACGGGAACGTGCTAGCCGACGTAGTCGTTACAGAAAAGCCAGGTGGCCCTCTGGATCTGCTCGGCTTTGCTAAGCAATTTCGGCCGCTTCCCCATATGCAGGCGACTCAGGTATTCTCGCCGATAGGGGGCGATGTGATTCGTGCATGATTTTGCCAGCTCGCGCATAGTTACACGGGCATATAGGAATAAACAACGAACGACACACACAGCACTCACATAGCCGAACATTGCAATGACGCTGCAACCTCATCTTTGTGACTCTCGTGCGCCCAGCCCCCCGCGAGGGTAAACCGCCCCCCCCGGGGGAAGGGTCGGGTCGAAAACAAATCGCTGCAATGCAGAGGGAGAGAAGCCCGGGGACGAGAGTCACTCATTCGTGGTGGCCAGAGCGGCCGACCCACAGCACCCCGGCCACTTGTTACAGCAGCAACTCAGAGCGTGAATTACCTACCCCGCTTTCGCTTCCAGGCAAAACCAAGCCATACCACGCGCCTCCTCGTCAAGCGGCCTGACCAGTACAGGCTGCAATTTGGCATCGTTTGGTGTCTCTTGCAAGCGAGGGTGGTCAAAAGCGAGGTAGATTTGTTTTCCCCCTAGCAGCAGCACCTTCACATCAGCAAAACGCCTCAGCCACCTCACGAGCTGAACATGCCAACAGCAGCATGGGACGGATGTCCCTGACCGACCGTACCCGCCTCCCTCCTCCCAGCGCGCTCCTCGGCCTGCACCGCGTCCAGGCTACAGTGGGGGCGCGTGCCAAGAAACCAGTTGGTTTTTGCCAGGGTGCCCCGGGTCTTTTGGATTCCGATGGGCCCCCAATAAGACCTTGACGATTTTCGGTCGACCACTTTGGATTTTCACAGGACAGATCGCGGATTTCACGGTTGGGTTTCTTGCGGAGTCTTCCTGTGGCCGAACCCCCACTGCAGAAGGACGCAGCCGAGGACGCACCCGCCGCGCACGCAGTTCCGAGCTCTGCACCCGATGGATGCCGCATGCGCTGACCTGTGCTCCGCGCGCCGCCTCCGGCGCGAGCGCCTCGGCCATTCGGCTCTCGCTCGTCCGCCAACTCGGAAGCCCCCTGGGAAACCACCTGCTGAGCAGTGAGGTGGGAATCGTCGAGCGCCATGCATGCCTGTCCCCTCCTGTCATCGACCAGAGCACCACGGATGCGGAGCCACAAATCGGCTCCAGGTCCTGTGGGCTCCAGAGGAGGAGGAGGAGGAGGAGCAGGAGGAGGAGGAGGAGGAAGAGGAGGGAGGAGGAGGAGGAGGAGGAGGAGGAGGAGGAGGAGGAGGAGGAGGAGGAGGAGGAAAACGACGACGATGACGGATTTTGGTCATTGGCGGAGATGGAGGAGGAGGAGGGAGAACTTGGAGGATGCAGGCGGAGGAAGAGGAGGAGGTTGACGAATTGGGCGGAGAGGGAGGGGAGCGAGAATGAGGGGAAAGTGGGAGGACGATTGAGGAACACGGGGGTCAGGAGGAGGGAAGTCGACGACGACGATGATGGAACATGAACTGGTGGTGCACCAGATTCTGCATCAGGGTGGAGGCGAAGGATGCTTCTGGACATATTTTTCCAGTCGATGCTTGCGCTGAAGGTGTCCCAGCGGAGACTGAAAGAGTAGGTAAGGGTATCGGTGGGCGGCCTGGTTCCCGGGTTCCCAGTCTAGGGGGTTGGAGTTCCCGGCGCGTAGGTAGATGAGATACTAGAGAAGAATGCACGTCCTAATAGAAAGAGCATGTCTCATGAGAGAGGGAGATATAGAGAGATAAGGCAAACCAGGCTAGAATACACATAGATATAGCATACATTGAAGAACAGAGACCAGAGCGAGTTGAGATGGTAGAAAGAGAGAGAGAGAGAGAGAGAGAGAGAGTGTGTGTGTGTGAGTTTGCAGTAGAGAGAAAGAGAGGGATAGAGAGGAATCGATAAAACACACATGCAAAGAAGAACAGAAGCGTTCTTTCGGTTTTTCCGCATGATTATCCTCCTCATCCTCCTCATCTTCCTCTCCCTCCTCCCTCATCCCCCTCCTCCTCCTCGTCCTCCTCCCCCTCCTCCTCCCCCATCCCCCTCCTCCTCGTCCTCCTCGTCCTCCTCCTCCTCCTCCTCGTCCTCCTCCCCCATCCCCCTCCTCCTCGTCCTCCTCCCCTTCTTCCCCCTCCTCATCCTCCTCTTCATTGGTTGCTGTTCTGGGCTTCTGGCCGCTCCAAGCGGCCTCAGGGGCTCGCCAGATCGGCCCACGACGGCCCACGGACCCTGCAGGGAGCCCCAGGAGAGCCCAAGGCGGTCCCAGGACGATCCCTGCTGGCGCTAGCAAGGCCCCAGAGCAAAAAGGGAGAGGGGGGGAAGAAGGATAAGATGTGTAAACATTTATATATTTATGCACAAACATATATGAATGCGTATAGAGAGATAGAGAGACACCCGTACATTGAGGAAGACACGAGTGAGAGAGAGGGAAGGAGCGGGAGAGATATCATTCGAGAATGAAGCACAAGGGTAGCTGACGCAAACGGGCCAGGTTCAGGGAGAGAGAGAGAGAGAGAGAGAGAGAGAGAAAGAGAGAGAGAAAGAGAGAGAGAGAGAGAGAGAAAAAGAAAGAAAGAAAGAAATAAAGAAAAAAAAGAAATATAGAGGAGAGGGAGAGAGAGAGCCAGCGGGCGTATGTTTTCTTCTCCGGCATCGTTCAGCAGTGTTGGCACGTGTTGTGTGTGTGTGTGTGTTTGGGGGTCTGGAGTCTGGAGGTATGTACTCCAGGTGTTTCAAGGGTGGAATGGCAAATTGAAGGGGAGGGTGACAGTGCAGGGGGTGTGGGCTGTATGATGATGACCGACGAACGAGATGGTGGAGTAGAAGGAGGAGGAGGAGGGAGATGGATGGTGGTGATGGAGGATGAGGGAAGCAGAGGAAATTGTCAACGACGAAAGATGTATGAGGGGTGTGGAGGAGGATGGAGGAGGACTGTGATGATAGAGCTGACGAGGAGAAGGAGGACTGAGGAGGAAACGACGGATGAGGTGGAGGAGTGAGGAGGTCGCGTCGTCGATGAGGTGGACGTGGGCGGCAACTACGGCGGCACCACCATCGCTCTCGCGCGCCGTTTCCCTTCCGCCAAGGTCTTTGTGGCCTCCTCATCATGATCCCTCTTCTTCCGTGCGAGCAACTGCGTGCGACTCATACCTCGTCCTCCTCCTGGCCTCCTCCCTCCTCTGCCAGCGCGAAGATCTACATTGTGTCCCAGATGACCGCTGACAGCCTGCATGGAACTGGACACAGACCCACGGAGTGTTGCATGGAACTGCCCGGTCTTCTGGCACAGTTATAGTTACGCACGCATGTTCCCCAACCCTCTGTGGTTGAGTACAGAGCTCTGCAGACCCTCCACCCTCCTCCTGCCTCTTACCTCGTCTCCCTGGATGTTGCCAACTGCTGCGAACGGCGCAGATGTCCACGAGGGTGCGGCCCGACCCAGACCCGAACGAGACATCGCCCCCCTGCGCGCCGACACGTGCGTAGTTGGCGCCAGTTCGGCAAGCTGGTGGGAGGTCCAGTGGGGTGCGGTCTAACCCAGATCCAAAAGATAACCCGCCTTCTTGGTCGCTGTAAACTGCGTAGTTGTCGTTGCTTTGGTAATTTGGTGGGAGGTTCTGCGGAGCGCGTTCCTGCGCATACGCAAACAGGATTTCGCCTCCCTGGGCGTTACCTACTGCGCAATTGGCACCATTGTGAGCTCGTGAGACGTCTTGCGCAACGCGGTCCTCCCCACATCCAAGCGAGACATCGTCTCTGAGCGCTACTAGCTGCTGTCAATTTCATGAGCTCCTGGGAGGTCCAGCGGAGCTCAGTCCTACCCAGATCCAGGTGATCACTCGCCTTCCTGGGCGCTGCCAACCGCTCAACGGTCGCCACATTCGGGAGGCTCCGAGCGGTCCAGCGTAGTGTTGTCCTGCCCAGACCCAGGTGATGCCTCGCCCTCCCCGAGCGCTGCCAGCTGCGCAACCGGCGTCTGTTCCGCGAGTTCGCGGACCTCGCATCGCTGGGTGCTGCCAGCTGCGGGGCTGCCGTCCCTTTCGAGAGCTCTCGGCGGCTCCAGCGGTGGCAACCCAGGCGGCCAGAAAACCTTCCCTCCCTGTTGGCTCCACGGTCGTCCTTCGGAACCCCCAGGGGCACCACTGCGGAGTGGCAGGGTGGTACCTCGGACTCCCAGGTGCAGCCCAAGCGGCGCAGGCGTAGGGGCAAACGATTTCGCGATCCGCGGCCAGGCTTTATCCATCGAGGGCCTCCCCCGGGCCGAGGAGGAGGGGGAGGAGGAGGGGGAGGGGGAGGAGGGAGGGGAGGAGGAGGAGGAGGAGGAGGAGGAGGAGGAGGAGGAGGAGGAGGAGGAGGAGGCGGGAGAGGCGGAGGCGGAGGCGGAGGCGGAGGCGGAGGCGGAGGCGGAGGCGGAGGCGGAGGCGGAGGCGGGAGGCGGAGGCGGAGGAGGAGAAAGAGGAGGAGGAGGAGGAGGAGGAGGAGGAGGAGGAGGAGACTCTGGAGACTCTGCCTGATCGCGTAGCGATATGAATATGGAGGTCCGCTGGCACCTACTGAGGTGCCTGTTGCTTCCCCAGTCTCTGGATAGTCTCAGCTTTGCTGAGCGCTTTGGGCCATGACCCCATTGCAATACGACGCAAATACTCCCGCCCTGTGGCGGTGGGTGTGTCACATGCGACGGCTAACTTCCCGATCTGTCGGGAGGCGTACACCCCGCAGTGAAAACAAAACCACAATTTCAGCCCAGTGTGGAACCTTAAACGATGGGTTAAATGAGCGATTCCCCCTGCCACATGTACCTGCATCCCGAGGGGGGGTCTCATATAAGTGCCATCAACATTCACAAGGTCATAACAACTGGTGCGAAGCCATTCAGTCTTACGGGCCTGGGTGGAGGAGTTCTGACACCTACTGCACCTACTACCCGTACTGTCTAGGGTATGTTGTGATGCAAACATTGCACAAACAGCGGGGGCTGGCGGTTTGACTGGAGCCTTAGGCTTCGGCCTCCTACGACGCGGGCCCTCTTGGTGTGCTATTCTATCGGCCTCGAGAGCGTCTAAGTGGGCCCTAAGGATCCTCATCCTCACCGTGAACGCTTGCTGCTCAACTCTGGCATACTGCTGTCGGATGTGTTTGGGGATCCTGCATTCACGAGCCGCTCCCGCGGCTAGCTCATCCGCGACGGTGTTGCCGTAGGCTAGTGAGCTGCTGATTTTACCTGCACAGACGTCGGTCTCAGTCATATGGGACCGAATGCAAAGAACAACCACATCTGCTTGCCGCTCTCGAACAGCCTCACGAAGGCGGTACCACAGATCAGCATCGGCGCCTTCGGGCGCCTCCAAGTGGCCGTTGTAGTAGTTGAGATACACACCCTCACTGTCGGTGAAGTAGACCAGGTCGCCCACCGTGGTGGTAACAGCCATCAGTAGGGCCATGAGCTCACCACGAATGACGGTCTGTCGCCCTCCTGGCAGTGGCCCCCATGCTCCGCCCTGCAACTCCATGCCGTTCCTGTCCAGGTCGTGGAAAACGGCGATGGCCACGCCGACGCGGCGCATGGGAACACTGGAGGTGTCGCCGCCGCCACTGCCGTCACCGAAGACATAGATGGGCTCGCCTTGGCCGCGACCGAAACACCCTGGGCCATAGGCGTCGGCGCCGTCGACCTGCCAGCTCGCGTGATCGGCTGGTGGTGGTAGACGGGTCCAGCTGCGAGGTAAAAGCCCTCGCGTCCAGTAGCACTCGAACATGTGCTGCTGGGTCGTGGCCTGGGTGATGAGGCTGTCCGTGGCCTCGTAGATCGGGCACTCCTTTCTGCATGGACACTGCCATATCCGATGAAACTCCGTCTCTTCTGCTTCCCCGCATCGCTCGCAGTGGCCGTCGGTGTCGGCGCCCTTGACCTCGGCCTTGACGCGGGCCTTGGGCCACATGGCACCAGTAGCGATGGCCAGCATGAGCGTTGCGAGGCGCGGTCCATTTTCCATAGTCTCGAGGTAGCGCAGCAGCCGTCGGTAAGAATGATTATCAATTCCTTCTTCCATGCCGCCACCGCCTCGATGCTTGCTGGCTTGGTGCCAGTATCTGTCTTGAATACTGTTGTCCAGGTCGTCCAGCAGCGCCTCGGGGATGTCTACAGCGGGTATCCCTGACAGTGCCTCCGTCTTGAAATCCCATGTGTCGGTGCCGTCTGCCAGCGCCACTGGCAACCGCCACTCGTTGGGTGCTACAGGGTCCCAGCCATTCTCAAGCAGGTAGAGCACGAGAGCGGACTGAGGTCCTCGTACGTGTCGGACACGATGCTGAACTGGCATAGCGCGAAAGTTGTCGACAACCTTGCGCCACGTGAATTGTATTGTTTTCTGTAGCGGCCCAGCCTGCACCCAATGCTCCAACCATGCTTGTACGGCCTCTCGTGGGAATCGCCGAGCTGGGTCACGAGCTCCTGCCTTGAGGTCAAGGAGGGTGGTCAGACAACGTCCAGGGAGGCGCGGGCCGACGGCGTCGCCAAGTCGCCGTCGGAACAGCGTCAAGGATGTGCCGTACACGCCATGGAGTTGGTGGCCGTACGCTACCGCAGCCTGCCCGCCCTGTTGGGCAAGCCGGCTTGTGACACGGTATCTTCGGGTAGCCCGAGCCAACCGTGCGATCTTCCGATGCATGAGGCCATGCCGTGCTCGCCGCTGAGTGCGGTTAGCCCGAGCATGCCGTGTCCCTGCGCCGAGGTCCGTGCCCAGGTAGCTGGCCTGACTCTTGTACTGGATGGGGTAGCCACGTCTTTTCATGGCTCGAGCTATGTACTTCGCGCCATCCATCTCAGAGCAGATGATGACGCTCTTCTTGGCGATGGTGAGGCCCCTCTCGGCCAGCTCCTCGCACGTGTCGGTGAGGCACCTCACCATGTCCTTCCGTAAGGCGCGCCGCGAGCCCTGCATGCGCTGGGAGAGGTCGTCGATCCATATGCGGTGCGTGTGCCGCCAGTGAACCTCCGTGACCTTCTTGAGGGCCCTGAAGGTCATCACCTTGGCGAACCTGGTGCCTGACCTCAGGCCTTGCACCACAGAGCGACTGGGGAAGATGCCCAGCGCGCATGCACCGCTCTGCGTGAGGATGCGAGGCGCCGTGCACTGGAGAATCTCGAGGCCTAGGACCTCGGCAGGGAAGTCAACCTCCAGCGCCTCCTCCCCGAGTCGACACCAATCTATACTATCATAAAACTGCGCGACGTCCAGCAAGCCGTGGGCCTGGGAGACCTGGACGTACGCAGCGAGCTCCTCCTGCAAGGCGCGCTGGTACGCCTCGCGCAGGGCCGAATTCCCTTTGGCTGCGGCGTCCCAGTGGGCGAAGCAGTCCTTGTTCCACTCCTGGACTGCATCCTCGCGGCACATAGACCACAGCCTCGCCACCTCAGGTAAAAGTCCGATGATGCGATCGCCGCCATCCTTCTTGGCCCTCATGACTCCCAGCGTGAGCAGGAGTTGATGTGGCCATGCCTGGGTCTGCTCGGCCAGGTTGAGGATGGTGGCAAGCTCCTCCAGCGCAGCGTCTGGTAGCCGAAGAAGGTCGGTCGGCCTGAGCCGATCGGCTCCCATCGCAGTGGACGCTCGCTGCCGTCTGAGCCCACGGCGCACGTCGCGCGCCGTAAGCGGTGGCAGGCCACGTTCCTGGACGCGTCGCCGAATGGCCTCGAAGAGGTCAGCCAGGCCAGCCCTATCGGGGGCCCTCGGCGCCCACAGCGACGTCCAGGAGCTGACCTTCCGATCTATCAAGTCGCGTGGGTGGACGATGGTGCCCTGCTCGGTGGAGACGGACTCTGCAGGCTGCGGCTGTGGCCGCAGAGATCGATGCAGCGCTCCGATGGCAGGCTCCGTGACAGCCCACTCGCGGAAGTCGTGGAGTGACTTCCTGACTGCCCGCTGTTGTGCGCGACGCGCGACAGCAGCGGCCTTGCTGGTGTAGGAGACGACCTCGGTGTCGGCGGCGGTGCGGATACGGCCGAGGATGTCGACCCACTGTTCCCACCGTGCACCGTCCCGTGGTCGAAGGTGGCCTGGTACCTGACTGGGTACGTCGGCCGTGA